CCCCCCCCTCCCCCTCTCTCATCGGAAGGGCCCTTCCCCCATCATTCACAGCCTCGCCACATCTGTCTGTTGGTTGATGGCCGTCTGCTGGAACTCTTATGCCTTCATATTAAATCAATCATTACCCCATCAAACCAAATCAAACCAAACCAATTTACCAAACCAAACATTTGTAGTTGATGCTATTATGCTTGCAGGGGTCCCCTCTAGATAGTCTTAGGAGTAGGTGATGGAAGGTAAAGAAACAGAAGTTGAGAGAAGAGTATAGAAAGAACAGAAAAAAAAAAAAAAAAGTTTGACTTTAACATTGAAAAAAAAAAAAAAAAATCGATTTTATATTTGTTAAAAAAAAAAAAACATTGATGTGAATCAACAGTGATTCTTGCATGTGGTCCTTAGTGGTTGGCTAAGGATGGGGATAAGGTTAGAAGTCGGTAACTATCTGGATCGAAATTCGAAATTTGAAATTTGAAATTTGAAGTGTGAAATTGTGAAAATTTGAAAATTTGAAAATTTGAAAATTTGAAAAGTTGAAAATTTGAAAATTTGAAAAGTTGAAAATTTGAAATGTGAAATTTTGAAATTTGAAGCGCACGCCATTTCCATTTTTCGCATTGTACAGTATGTGTTTGTTTTTGCTATGTGAATTTTTAATTTGAAATTTATAGGAGTGATGGGTGTGTTGGTCCTTTACTGTGCTGATGGGGTATAATGGATAAGCCAGGCCATTTCGCTTCTTGAGAGCAATCTAGAAAATGCTACTACAAGTTTGGAGAATATTACGAATGATCTGCAGTTCCTGAGAGACCAAGTGACTATAACGCAGGTGAGACCCCTTGTCCTTTTTTTAAAAAAAATTAAAATCCGATCGTCAGGCAGACAGTCACATGGATTTTTTGAGATATGGGTGCGCCGGCCAGGTTAACTCATCACTCGCCGTCGTGGCCGACTAATTTATGCTTAACCACTTGCACTTTTTGGGTTCTCTTTTTTCTTTTTCTTTTCTTTTTCTTTTCTTTTTCTGTTCTTTTTCTTTTCTTCCTTCTTTCTGAGATACACAGTGACTATAAAGCTTATGTGACACAGGCTGAGGGATTCTTTAATTTTTTTTTTTCTTCTTTCTTTGTCTTTAGGGACAGATTATAACTCAGGTGAGATTTCACACCCCAACCCCTCAGGAGAGACCAAGTCACTATACTATAAACTTATAAAGTTCATTGTAAGTTATAACCTAGGCTGTTTTTCCATGCCAGTCAGAACGTTCTTGGGACTGGGAACTACCCGTGCACGCATGGAGTCGAACCGGCACCCTCGTCCACAATAGCCAAGTCTCTTAACCACTACAGCCATGACACGGGCCCACGGGGTACCAAAGTGGGAAAATTGTACCGGCCCCGATCTCCACCCCACCACCACCACCACCCGTGCATGGTTCAACCTCCTGACGATGTGTTGGTCATTTTAAGTCCAACAAAACAGTCTTTTTTTGTTTTCAAAGTCCGACAAAACAGTCTTTTTCTTTTGCTTTTCAAAGTCCAAGAAAACATTCTGGCACAGCACAGTCATGCTTTTCTTGTGGAGTTTCGTATAGCGACCATGACAACACGAGCACAACACGAAACAGTTTTTTCCATGCGCCTGCGCACTAATTTTCTGCCCATATTCACGCCTGGCAGCTCGGACGGCCAGGACCTCTGGGTGGCCCATGCATGACCGGGTGTGCCTGGTACTACCTCGTAGTAGCGTATAAGTTATAACAGAGGGGCGACCCGGTTGAGAGATGAAGGGACTGTGACACATGGGAGGCCTTCTTTTGAAGGTTTTTTTTTTTTTTTTTTTTCCCTCTTGAAAGACGAAGTGACTGAAACACTGGTAGTGAGGCCTTTTTTTTTTTTTTTTTTACGTCGTAAGGACGGAGTGATCGTAAGTCTGAAACTTATCTTCGGTTCTATTTGTAGGTCGGATAAAACAGGATGACGAGATTCGGGTCTCGATGAAGATGAAGAAGAGATTTCTAGAACAACTACTGGTGCAAGTGAAGTTCTCTGGGCATACTCGCACTAGGACCTTTTGTACTCAGCACCAGACCCTAATAGTGGTCAGATACAGACACAGCTGGCTGTAATAGCAGTCAGATACATGCAAAAAATCCAAAAATGCAAGTGAGAGGACTCTCTTGGAGGCTTAATATGGGCGGCTCGAAATGTAACTGATGGTCTCCTTCTTGTTGTTGTTGTTGTTGTTGTTGTTGGTTGTGTTTTTTTTTTTTTTTTTTTTCCCTCCCTTAAAATACGGCCTGACTACCTTGGATCAGAAATTACACTGATCAGGGGCGAGGTCCCACTAGCAACGGGATAGGATAGAAACGAGTTTGTGGGGCAGTTGAGTGACCCAAATCCTGCCGTGCACTACTCGTGATCCCACCGTCAGTATTTTACATGTATTATCCGAAAAAGTAAGGAGATCTTCGTTCCCCTCCTCCTCTCCTTAACACTGGGCATGCCCGTGCAAAGACAGCTTCCCGCCAGAATCTTTTCAATCGGTTGGGGGTGTGGCCAACCCCAAACGAGGTTGGGGTCGGCCTTAGCCCACTGGATAGAAGATTTTCAGCATTTTACTTGCTGTTGTGCAATTATCTCATTGGGTGGAGCCCTCCTTCAATCACGGAGTATATGAGGGTGTCAGGATCACTGCTGACAGAAGTTGATTTTATTCCAAAAAAATATGGCGGTTACTTTGTTCAGTGCTTTTGCAACCACCGCCATCAGATCATTTGTGATCTGATGGCTGGGAAGCACTCTGCCGTGATTTCCAGTGGGAGGTATCTGTGTCTTTTTTCTTTTTTGGCCTTTTTCCTGTTTTCTCAGCCCAGAAATTCGTAATGAACGTGTCACACCGGATCGGCCACACTCCTATCCTACTGCTAATGGGACCTCGCCCCAGAAAGCTCAGAGTCAATACTACATACTACACTATCGGGATAGTAGGAGGGAAAAAAAAAATAAAAAAAAGAACAAATAGTAAAATACTGCACTTTTATCGTCTCATCCAAAAGGTGGACGATGGTATGGTTTCAGTGGTTTGTAATCTTTGGATTTTTTTTTTATTTTTTATTTTTTTGTGAAAGGTGGATGTTTGTTTTTTTGATTTTTTTTTCCCCTTTTCCCATATCTGCTAAGCTGTGAGATATTTCTATAGTTCTTTCCTTGAAAAAAAAAAAGAAGATATATCTTTCTTAAAAGAGGCTGGCAATCTCTGCAGGGAATGTTCATAGCCGGCATCGGTCCTCTTTTTCTTTTTCTTTTAAGTGCCCGCGGAGATTAGCCCTGATGCTGCTGTATACATAAATGTTGTATACATAAATGTTCTCGAGCTGGCATTCTCTAAGGGCATTACACACAGTAGGAATATCTCGACTGAACCTGGATGTAGTTTAGGTGAGATACATCCAGCACAACCCGGCATGAGTATGCCCTAATACTGTTCTCTTATTGGTCTCTGAAAACTGATGTTGCGTTTGGTTTTGGATGGAGAACGCATGCACTTGGTGATGCACCTATGTCCTTTTTTTTTCTCGACTTTCTTGACTGTGAAAGGGTTTCACGGAACTTTCACCCAGTTCGTGCAACAATTGCAGATACCGGGTCTTGATCCCCAGACTTTCCCCAACCCAGTGTACAGTACGTTTGTGTTGTTCGTTTACCCCGTGTGCCTTGAGGCTTGAACCCACGACCTCTCCCCAAACCCGTGTGTATAAATGCCATGTGTGCGAAGCGCGGGTCGCATGGATTTGATCCGTAGGTCTGTTGCTTAGAAAGTCTTAGGGTCGTCCGTAGGTCGTCCGTTCGTTGTATTCGGGGGGGAAGACTGTAGCCACGACCTACTGACTTCCCCGGGTTCGCCCGACCTACTGACCTTTCAGAAGACGTATGGCCGGCCAGTTTTGACCTTTCGAAAGGTCAACTGTAAGACTTAGTTACTTGCCATACGAAAAGGCAGCAGACCCTAAGACTTCTAAGCAGCTGGCCATACGTCGTCTGAAAGGTCAGTAGGTCGGGGGAACCCGTGGAAGTCAGTAGGTCGTGGCTACCGTCTTTCCCCCCGAATACAAGGAACGTCGCACGGTCATTATAGCTGAATTTATAGACTGAAAGATACCGCAAATTCAGCTATAATGACCGTATGACGTACGTTGTATTCGACGGAAGACGGTACTGTAGGTTAGGTCTCGAAGAGTCAACTTGACCTCTTGAAGTCAGTGGAGGCAGCTCGTCAAATCTCTGAAAGGTCGTCAGGAGTCCCAAGTCAACCCCGAAGGGGCACATGACAAGGTCAAGAGCCCCAGTTTCAGCCGTTTTGCAGCGAGTACCAGTCTGAGAGTGGGACTGCACATCTTGAGGGCGTGGGACCATCCGGCAGGCCCAGACCGCAATTCGGTGCAAAATTCGTCGAAAATAACACCCCTGGTTAACCACGTGTGCAGACCGCCAAACGAAACAGTATAAATATAGAGGCAGCGGGCAGTCATGGACTCATTCTGAGACAAAGTACGCGGCAGTGCTGATTAGCGACTTGTGCGTTGAGTCACGGGTGGTCAACAGGAGAGCCTGGGTTGAGGAGGGCAAGCGGCCATAGCTGCTAGGAGGAGGAGGAAGACGACGGCGGCCATAGCCGGCGGCGTGTAGAAGATAGAAGATAGTGTGTGTGAGTGCAGACATTCAGGGTAGATCCAAGTGTTGTGTGCGTACGTGCGTGTGAGTGTGTCTGATGGTGGTGGATAGTGTTCGGGTGGGGAATTTCAGACTGCTGGCGCTCAGACGCCATAGCCGCAAGATGTGGCAAGTTGTCGTCACCCTACCGTCTTCACCCGCGTAGAATGCCCGGTCATTATCGCTGCATCTGGACCGAAAGTTGTGCCAAATAATTACAGCTATAATGACCGGGCGTTCTATTCGGACGAAGACGGTAGTTCCTGGCTGAAGGCCATATCCCTGAGTTTTCTGTGTGGGCGCGCATTGCGCCATCTCAAGCATGTTGCCGATTCTGCTTTGAGGAAGTGGTTTTGCCATCGGCATCTGCATGTACGCATGTTGGACGTGAAATCGAGACGAGTCTGAATGCATCTGAATCTGGATGCCCTTCAGGTAAGATGCATCCGGCAACATTTTGGCCCGCTTGATGTGTTGTCAGACTAATCTTTTATTTGTACGGTTTGGACTCTGTCATCTCCGAAGTTATGGGATGTGTTTTGGTCGTGACCGTCTTCTCTCTGTCCTTTTATTTCAATGACGACAGCCCCTCGTTTGTTGTCCTCTTCTCCCTCTCTGCCTATGGTTAACCGGGCCGCTCTGGCAGAGTATATTGAAGGACCTACTACCCATGTGTTTGGTGGGTGGTCTTCCTCTCTTGTAGGATTCAGTGTATAGTTTTTTTAACCTTTTTTTTTTTTTTTTAATTTTATTTTAAACCTTGGTTATCCTGGACCCGGACCAGGTGATGACCTGACGTCTGGTGAAGCTGAGGTCCGCACTCATCCAAGCATCTGCATTGATACCAGACAAGCAGAGTCCATCCCTCTCTCTCTCTCTCTCTCTCTCTCTCTCTCTCTCTCTCTCTCTCTCTCTCTCTCTCTCTCTCTCTCTCTCTCTCTCTCTCTCTCTCTCTCTCTCTCTCTCACCCCTCCCCATTAAAAATGATAAAAAAGTCTCAAAATGACCCTCAGCAGAAAGTTGTTCGTATTGCAAGTTGCAGCGCTACGTAAGATATATTTTTTTCTTTTTTTCTTTTTTTTTTTCTTCTTTTTCTTTTCTCTCGAGAAGTCGAAATTTTGGAACTTAATCTAACCCTATATTACCTAGAAAGCATCTTGACCCTGGCATCCGTATCTGGACATCGTGATGGTCCGGATGACCTTCTCGATGTCCAAAAAAGTATACCCTAGTGTTCAAAGTTCACATACATACGGTAATAGTACGATTTCGAGAAGAAGCATTTGGTAATAGTACGATTTCGAGAAGAAGCATTTGGTAATAGTACGATTTCGAGAAGAAGCATTGTGATCTTAGACTAAGTGGACGGAGTCCTGTTGATGGTTGTTTGTACCTGTGCCAGCCTACTGATGGTTTCTGAATGTTCTGCATAATTTGCTCGACTTCTATTGGTTGATTGCTTGATTGCTTGATTGCTTGCTTGCTTGCTTGATTGATTGATTGGTTGATTGATTGATCGATTGATTGATTGGTGACTGATTGATGATTGTTAATCTCTTTGTACAGGTCATGATGGCACGCGTCTTCAACTACGATGTGCACCAGAGGAGATTGCAGAGGTTGACTTTAGATGTAGAGAAGGTGGGGGCCTGAAATTTAGCTCTGAAGGGTCAATGGACATGGTGAGGAGATCACAGGGAAGCAGCACGCTTGTGGGCGGGGGGGGGGGGGGGGGGGGGGGGGGGGGGGGGGGGAGAGAGAGAGAGAGAGAGAGAGAGAGAGAGAGAGAGAGAGAGAGGTTTTGGAGAAATAAGTACTGGGGTGTTTCCGAAGTCCAACATGTTCGGAAATGGTGGAGGAGGGGATGTGAGGGAGGTGGTTCTCCATGGGACAATTTAGCATGGCTGTAGATTTTGCTGGATAGTGTGTTATGAAATGATCGGCTTCCGTTGGTAGTAGGTACTGAATGACGACGAGTGGTTGTTCCCTTTGCTTTCCCTTTTTCCAGAGTTTTTTCCCAGCTCAGGAAAGCTTGCAAGAATTGTGATGAGCAGTGAGACGAGTAGCAGAGCACTCTGTGCGAGATGCAGATGTTATTCCCGGCTTAGGGAAGTTGGTGAGAAATGCAAATAGCCGTAAGAAGAGTAGCAGCACTTCAAAGTTTTTGAGCAACTGCAAATGTTTTTATGCCGCCGCCGCCTCCTTCTCCTCCTCCTCGTTGTTATTATTATAGCCTTATGTTAGAATTTTTGTAATGTCTGTAGATTCTGCGCATTGTTGTTGAGGATGAGAAAGGGTCATTGTTTTCTGAAAAATTTGAGCTGATCGCGGATCGGCAGCAGGAGGGCGGTGAAAAAAAAAGAACACAAAAAACCGCCAGTAGTTGGCCGAGCCATTTTCGTCCGACGCGGACGTTAACGTGCCGCAAGTTCCGCGGGACGGCCTACCGGGGCGAAATGGCGGGCAGCTCAAGGAGGGCAAAATGGATGAAGGATGCATTATCAATCAATGGATGATGGTCCCCAAAGGTCAACGGCGTACCTTTTGGATACTCAGTCAGAGAGTTATATATAGCTTAAACCACCAGTACTTGCTAAAGTCGTGCCCGCTAAGTTCGCTAACAGGCGACGGTTTTAGGAAACGTACGGGCCACTACAGGAGCGCCCAAATTCACCCGAGTAGAATTGTTTCTGCTCTATTGTTTTTTCCACGACCGATAGGTGGGCCAAGTACTGGTGTTTGTTATATGGTTCTGCACTTCCACGGGCCTAAATCCTCTCCGTGCTCCCTGAACGGATTTGAAACGTGACCTTGGTTTAATCTGTAGGTGTGAAGCACAAAAAGTCATAAAAGGATATCTTTCCTAAGTACCCAAATTCACGCTGTCAAATGGAAGGCACAAATCAAGTCTCTTGGGTTAGGCGCGGAGCACACAAAAGACTTCCGCCGAGCCCCTATCAAGGAGCTTGTCGAACATCTTTTTGGCAAATTAATAATTAATAATTATCCCTTTTTTTCTAGGCTACCAGCCGGGCCACCAGGGTCACCATATTTTCCCGGGCGGCCCGGCCGTGCAAGGACTTGGGAAGGTCCCAGCCAAAAAAAAAAAAGAAAAAAAAGAGAAAGCCAAAAAATCCGGAAAAAAAACTATGTTATGCAGAAAAATAAACTGAACAACTTTTGCCTCAGGGTCACATCAAAATTCTTGACCAAATTTAAAATGAAAATTAAAAAAAATAAAATGTTTTTTATTTTTTATTTTTTATTTCTTTTTGGCCCGCCCGGGCAAGTGGACCCGGGCCACTCTGGTAGCCTAGCTTTTTTTTCCGTTTTTTTTTTCCGTTTTTTTTTCCGTTTTTTTTTTCCGTTTTTTTTTTCCGTT